CACATCCCGCCCTCACCATGCCCACTTTCTGCCATAAATAGTCAATGCAAAGTGCCTTGTGAATCTCATACATATACATAAGCCTGCTGTTGCAGCGCTCTGCCAATGACGATGGTGACCGTAGATCAAGGCAGATCAAGGAAGCGCAATTTCACAGAAGCAGAAGTTGAGGTACCTGTGGGTGAGGTGGAGAAATGAAAGGAAGTGCTTTTGCAAAACAAATAAGAGAAATCCACGGAGTGGCACAGTGTTGCTGAAGCCGCCAATGTTGTGAGTTCTTCAGAGAGATCTGTGGCGTATATAAATAAAATGGTCCAACCGGGATTCAATCCCCAGACTCCTGGGTGAAAGTCACGCGTGCTAACCAATCAGCCAAACGGAGATCTCCCCTGTACATCTAGCCAGGGCGGATCATCAATCAGGTCACAGTGACAGGACACACACACTGTCACAGACGCATGACATTCTGTCTCAATCTGTCCCCCTGCTGATATTCTGCATTCCGTATTCTGCGCTTCAGGCTGTGTGTGTGAGTGTGTGTGTGTGTGTGTGTGTGTGTGTGTGTGTGTGTGTGTGTGTGTGTGTGTGTGTGTGTGTGTGTGTGTGTGTGTGTGTGTGTGTGTGCGTGCGTGTGTGTGCGTGAGTCTGCGCGCATGTGTGTGTACACGTGCGTGTTTGTGCGTGTGTACACAACTTAAAGTTGTGTACATTTTTATGCTAAGTTTTCTTTCATAAATCCCAAAGTTTGCGTGGAAAGTTGCTTACCCAGTTTTCCTACCCCGTTTTGTGCGTAAGCAAGCTTGATAAATGAGGCCCCTGAGCTTTTGTTCCCCCGAGTATGACTTACAAGGCATTCAAGAGATCACTGTAAACGTATTAATTAAACGAGTGTTGAACACTTTTAACCTCTTCTACTTTGTTTCTGCAGTGAGATATTTCAGTGCTTAAATGTTTATCTTTTATCACTCAATCAATCAAAGATACTTTATCAATCCCAGAGGGAAATTAGTGTTTCAGGACACACAATTCAGAGATCAGACATACATGGGCAAGACATATGACAAGAATTGGTGACTTTGGTCATTTGCAACCCTGAGTCGTGCTACCTTAATAGAGATAAGAGGGTTACATGAGGGTTGGTTCAGGTGGAGGGAAAAAAGGCACTTCAGAGTTACCCTCCCACCAGGAGGGCAGCTTTGCTCTGCAAAAAAACCCTCAAACATATATGCAACAGACTTCAGACATCACAACATAAGTGTCCACTAGGTGGGGTGGTGGGTTGGGACTATCCCTACTTCAGTTCCTGCAGCCACGATAAGCAGCGCATGTCACCTCAGTGTGGATAGGGGGAGGAGCACTGAGGGTTGGAGGGTTACAGTGACCCTGGAACGTTTCAGCGGCCTTCCCGCAGTCCTGCCCAGGCTGGGAAAGGAGCAGTTGAGTTGAGTTGCCATAGCGACGGCACATTCCACATATCTTCTGAGGGGGGAGTTTTCATTGGAACCTTGTAGGCTCAAGGGCGCCAGATTCCGATTAGAAACTGTTTTGGAGCCAGACAGAGATAATTTCCTCTCTGTCTTACAGTTTGTTGGTCCTCAACCTCTCAAAATCCCAATAATGGACGTTAATCTATCCCAATACGTGCTGATTCGTCCACTCTCTCCTTGATGGCATCCATCTTTTGTGCCAAAGAATGAATCTCCGCCAAAGTCCCAAGCTTACGATTCATCTCCACAATTATTTGATTCTCTGAATTCACAGGGCGGTGCAAACCTTCTCTGAGCTCCGGGATCAGGCCAATATTCCTCGACAGCTCGTTAATTTTCCGGTAATTTTCATTTATGCCATTTAGTTTTCCAAATCGTATTGCATTTCTGTAACTTTAATACTCCTCCCCGTTCTGACTCATAGTTTAGACCTATACTTTCTCAGTAAACAAGTACTCTGTGTTCACTTTCCCTCAAACCTGTTTTTTTTTTCTTTTGCCTTTGCGAGGTGTTGATTATATTTGTCCTTTCAGCACAGGAAATCTCTGTGTAGCAAACTCACTCATGCACTGGGAGACTTTAGGGAATGCAATACCTTTCAGAAGTTTTCCCAGCCATTGCTTTGACTTGTTTTTCTGGGCTTCTTATTATGTTTTATTACAAAGCATATTTGTGTGCTGAGCCTGGGGATCTGCACGCTAATTACTCCTGTCGCTACTGAGGAACAGAGCAGAGAAGCAATAAACAGGTGGCCTGGCATATTAAAAGCTGCAGCTATGTAAGCATCTTGATATGAAAATGATGAAGTGATGTCGCACGGCAGGTGGCATCGTGCTGCACTGATCCGTTGCTTCACTCCAATGCTGGCTGTGTTCAGAACTGCAGATCAGCTGCTCTGAACCCTAAATGAATCCAATATGGTTTTAAATAAAAGGAAAGACAGTTTTGCTAATCTGCAAGCCACAGCACTTTAGTTTACCCCTTCTCATCTTTCCTTCTCAATCTAAAGAGTTTAAACCAACATACTTCACAATAACGTGTACTGAAGCTGAACTTTCTATGTAAACTGAACAGACTTTCCAGGTGAGAACAAAAACGCTAAAATCAACATGTCTTCCAGCTCAAGTGCTGGATCCCACATATTTCCTGGTTTGTGGTGAGCTGCTGAGGAGCAGGACTGATGTCTATCACCTTTTGGAGAGTGGATGACCTGAGGGATTCTCCACAGCAGAGATTTATGCAAAACCAGAGCCAGCATCGTCGGCCAAGACCAAACACCGAAAATTTTAAAAACAAACTTCAGTAATGAAAATTACTATTTAAATGGGACAATAATGATGAGATTTGATTTTTCTGAAAAAAAATGTTCGAAAGAGACAAACTCGTTGTGGGTTGATCCGAAAAAACAATTTTCATTCCAGGATGCTTGAGTTGTTTTTTCATGTTGCATAAGGATAAGTGGTTAGCCAAAATTCTTTGCGTAAGATGTACAGCTTTTGCTACAGACAGCCGTTTCCAGGCTGAGTGCCAAACCTTCGAATCCTCCATGGAGACAAAAGCAGATCGCTGAGAGGTCGGCCTCTGAAAGGCACCTGAGGTTCAGTGAATTGAAAAGGATTTGCAAACGTTTTAAGGAATTAAATGTCTCCTAGAAAACACAGAAGAGCTTGTTATGGTGGTTTAAATTAAAAGTGAACAGGATGAAGCAGGAATGTAACATGAATCAACTGCTCCGGCTTCTTATTAGTGACTAAGATCTAGTTTAATGAACAATTTGCTATTTTATTTACCTTTTAAATAATTTTTGTTCCGTTTGGAGTTATAATTGTCTCAACACCTTTTTCGGTTTGCCTTCTTCACCATCGTTAAAAAAGAGCAGTTCCAAACAAATTCCAGCATGACAGCTGCATGATAGAAGATTTGCTCTTCAAGCCACATTGTGGCTGTAAATTTCATGAAATAACATAAAAATAAATCACTAAATGTATTTGCTTATATTAGCAGCAGGGAGGTTTTCAGGCAGGGGTTGTGCCTCAGATGCTGAAGCCCTCACGCTGTGAAAGCCGTGTGGTAGAAGGCCTCACACACATTGAAATTCCATTTTAAGACATCTTAATTATGAACTTTTCTCATTGTTTATGTCACATTCTTCGTGTGGATGATTGTTTATGGCTTAGGTTGTAACTGTACATCTCCTTTAAGACCCGTGAGATGCCTGAGCTGCAGCTGTTGCACACCTGCTTAGGCTTCATTAAAAACTGGATGGCTGAGAACTTTCTACAGCTGAATGAAGGCAAGACTGGGATCTTCATCTGTGTCCCAGAGGAGCTGGTTCCCTAAAGATGACAGATAATTTGCTCCTGTGGCCTCCACACTCTGGAACTGTCTCCCATTAAGTCTGAGATCCAACACATTCTCACACCCAAGGCGTCAAAATATGACGCGTGTGACCAAGTCTCAAATTGTAAGTCGCTTTGGGTAAAAGCGTCTGCTAAGCACATAAACATAAACATAAACATAAACATTTTGACGCCTTGGGTGTGAGAATGTGTTGTGAGATCAGAGGACTCAGTGGTCTCCTTCAAAAAGCAGCTGGAAACTCACCTGTTCAGGCTGCTGATTCTTCCTGACTACCTTCTCTTCGTGCTGCTGTTTCTACCAATTCTGTCTTTCTTGGGATGATTCTTCCTTCACATTTTTTAATCTAAATTTTTCCGTTTCCCCCATTTTTTATTATGATTTTATTTTTTCGTGTGTGAAGACAAACAGACTGAAAATAGTGGTCAGGGTATTTTTGTGTTGTGGTTGAACAACATGTTTTTCTTCAATGAGTCTAAAACTAAAAATATTGAGGCAAGAATAATAAATTAACCACAAATATTTTTTTCTAACAGTTGTTTTTACACAAACTTTGCCACATAAAATCACTGAACTTTTTCCCCATAGGGCATGATTTGTCATTAATTGTTGCAAAATGAATGCAGCAAACAGGCCACCGTGTCAGCTTCCCTAGATTTCCCTGTTCTATTTGGGAGATGGGTAAAAAGTTTTTAATAATTTTCAATTTTTTTAACATCCTTTTTCTATTTACAGTTCTGCTGAGAGATTGTAGTATTGTATTTGTTTTTTTTTATTGTATGCACAGATTATTTTTATAGTTACATTATTCCAAAAAGGAATGTAAGGAAAAAATATAAGTCTGCAAAATGTTTGATCAAAATAAGACACCGTTGTTTTCAATCGTATTGGGTTTTGGCGCCATCATGTGGTTATTGGTGGTACAATTGGGGGCTGACAGTGAGGAAGTGCAATTCACGGAATAATAATACTAGTTGCAGTAATTTTCCGGGTGTTTTATTGTGAACATTTAGAAATGCGCGTTTGTGTCATTTTAAAATGAATCAATAGTCTTCTTTTTTTATTGTTGCTGATGAACACATTTCTGACTCGATTTACTAAGATACGGAAAGCTAACTTGGACAACTTTCCTCCTTCCTGTGAATCGAGGTTACCATGACAACAGTTGTAAACTTACAGATGTCCTTGCTAACTTGGAGTTGTCTTGCTAGCTGTAATTGTGGTTTTAAATATATTTCAACAGAAACTACATTTTCACAACTTTCTGCTGTTTTTGGAGCGCAGCTATGTCAAAGTACAAGACAAATAAGGTCAGAGGTTTATGACAACAGCCGTTAAATGAGCTAAGTTTGCTACATACTGTTTTATTTGAATTAGATCATGATCGTATTAATGTAAAATCCAGTCTTCAAGTTTAAGATATATGCTAGAAATTCATTAAATGTGTGAAAGATTACTTTATATTCAACACCTACAGTAGCCCAATTGGCTGCAGTTTGCAACGAAACAAATAAGAAACTTATGATTGTTTACATTTTATGTGTTATTAAAAACAACATGCAAAATAATGAATTTAAAGGCACCTGATTCAAATCCCTGCTTTCTTTTTTTATTGCGTCGATTCCTTTTCTCCGTTCATTTCTTAATTCTTCATGAGATTTTTTTATTTGACAATAAATTATAAATGTATTTATCATCAACTGTGAATTTGCTTCCTTTAATCCTGCATACGTTGTCAGATGGACTGATTGATAAAGATTTGGTCCATTTTGGCAGTATAAAGGAAAATCTTATGAAGCCAGTGCTATAAGAATATTATTTTTCTCTTAATGATGCAGTTAAAGAAAATATATAAATATAATAGAATTAATTTGGAAGTAATTCTTGATTACTCTCATGCACAACATTTGAGCAGCATTTCTTAATTAATAAATCCTCATTTGTTAACTTTACCTAAATTACAGGCATCTGCATACAAAGACAATGGTAAAGGTGAGGAACGGTAGGTGTCATTCTTAAAATTTCTAACCTATGAGTCAATAAATGGAACATTGCTATCAGTGAATGTTACTGTGACTTCTCAGGGAAGGAAGACACTGTGTGCATTTCAAGTGTGGTGCAGTCAGCACCATAAAAGATGTTCTTCACCAAAGACCAAATTGGATGGAAGTCAAAGAGTGAGTTTATGGTGTAATAAAGGCTTTTCAGAAAGGTGCAAATGTGTAATTAATAGTTAGATGTCATAGCATCATCTTTGTTGTGTATCAGGCCTATTTTGATACATTTTCTCCCATTTACAGCAATGAAGAGTGGGACTTTAACTGGTGTGATGTGGGCTGGCTCAGAGAAAATTTTGACCACATTTACATGGGGGAACATGTCAGAATAAATCACTTTCCAAACCATTATGAAGTAAGTTTCACTCTGGACTGTTATGACCATAACGCAGTAATAAAAACAAACATCTAACTTGTCTTTTGTCTTTTATATAACAGCTGACACGTAAAAATCTCATGGTGAAAAACCTGAAGAGGTATCAGAAAAACCTTGAAAAGGATTTTGGCCGCCCAGAGGCGTCTGAATGTGATTTTTTCCCCTGCACCTTTGCACTGCCCAGTGAGTACCATCTATTTGTGGAGGAATTCAAAAGAAACCCTGGCACTTGGATCATGAAGCCGGTGAGCCAACGTAGACTCTCTGCTATACAACGCCTTCCTCTTTGTGTTTGAAAGACCTAAAAATCTTCACACAGTTGTGTTTGTTTAGGCAGCAAAATCTCAAGGCAAAGGGATTTTCCTCTTTAGAAAATTGAAAGATGTCACGGACTGGAAGAAGGTATCGGGGTTAATATTCCCATTGAATGAAATGGATGAACACATTCATTATAAATGCATTTTGTTTAATCAGATGGTGCTTACAGGACAGCTTCCACACAGAAGAACAGAAGGATGCAGCACATGTGGAGAGCTATGTAGCTCAACGCTACATAGAGAACCCTTACCTACTTAATGGTAATAAACTGGATTAATCAAATATATAAATATGTCGCGATTAAAATTAAACTGCAAGGTTTATTTTTGTCCCTGCAGGAAGGAAATTTGATCTGAGAGTTTATGTCCTGGTGACATCAGTATGTTTGCTAATAAATTACTATTTTTAAACGAGATGTAATTCAGTATAGCATAATAAAACTAACGTTTTATGTTTTTTTTGTTCTAGTACATTCCTTTGAAAGCCTGGCTGTATCGAGATGGCTTTGCCCGCTTCTCAAACACTCGCTTTTTCCTCGGCACCATCAACGACAAACGTATCCCTTCAGTTCTGGCTTTGAAAACATTCCTATTATTTAAAAGTCTGGCTTTGCATTTGTAGCATGTGATGTATTCCATAAGTCTTGTTTTTTTGTTGTTTAGAGAGCAAGTCACCCCCTAATCAATGTTTTTTGCAGGAAGCGGGAGTGGAGTAAAACTCTGGTAGGGGTGCAAGTCACCCCTACCAGAGTCTTACTCCACTCCCGCTTCCTGTTTGAAACATGCAACAAATCCTGTTGCCTGGCAGACCAAGAAGGCGGAGCCACTAACCAATACACACAGGCTCACAACAACATTGTGACATCATAATGTACCAGCCAATGTCATAGTGAACCCCTTAGCCAACAGCAATGGCAGATTTTAATTCAAATGTAGTGCAGAGTTTTTACCTGAAGACGGCACAACACTGACAGTTTTAGGCAGAACGTTTCAATTTTTACTAAGATGCACTTAAGTGCCAAATTACTGACTGCACATGTCTACAGCACGATTAGATACTCATTTATATAGTTTAACAGCAAAAACAAAAAAAAGTTGATTTGAGGCTGACTTGCTCTTTAATGATTTAAAAAAATTTCCTTTTGGCCTTTTTTAGACATGCATCTCACCAACGTGTCTGTCCAAAAAACAGCACCTGACTATAATCCTGAAAAAGTACGTAAGAACTTGACATACCCTGTCTACCACCACTCTTTGACTGATTGGGTCTTTTACAGATTTCCATTTGTTTGACTAGGACTGTAAATGGCAGCTGCAGCAGCTTCGACGGTACCTGACGGCCAAGCACGGCAGAGAGGTGGTTGAAACCCTCTTTAAAGAGATAGATAACATTTTTGTTCGAAGCCTGCAGAGCGTGCATAAGGTCATTATAAATGACAAACACTGCTTCGAGCTCTATGGTTATGACATACTATTGGACCAGAACCTCAAACCGTAAGTGTATCCACACACCTCCTGCACACATATTCTCCTTGTAACATGCAGGATTTTCTAGGTTACAGACTTAACTAAATTTGAAAGTGTGCAATGCAAATGTCAGCAACCTCTACTCAGCAGTTTTCTGGTCCTTTTGAACCGGTCTAGTGTCAACTCAAAAAGGCCAAGTAAATGTTTGCTGAACATGACCCTGCATCTCTTCTCAGGTGGCTAATCGAGGTAAATGCCTCCCCGTCACTCGCTCCCAGTAGCAAAGAGGATTACGAGATGAAGTATAGACTACTGGAGGACACTCTGAATGTTGTTGATATGGAGGGGAGGTAAGGGTTTATTTCTAATACATGCTTGTCAAAATGTAAATACTGTCTGTGCTTTCATTAATTTCAGCTTTTTAACCCTCCCACTGTCCTAATGGGTGTGACCCCACAAGGAAAGTTGACCATTGAGCAGGGTTGATGGTTTATCCCTTGGGCCAATGTGGCAGGGGTGAGGAGTGAGCACCACCTCACCCCTGCCACATGGACCTCAAAGGATAAACCATCAACCCTGCTCAATGGTCAACTTTCCTTGTGGGGTCACCCATAAAGACAGTGGGAAGGTTAAGAAAATTGGAATACTGGAAATGTGAGAATGTAGAGCTGAACCTGTTCTCTGATATGGCTGATTGTTTTTCTCATTAGACTAACTGGTAAGGAAAAAAGAGTGGGAGGTTTTGATCTCATGTGGAACAACGGGCCCGTCTACAGAGAGGACGCCAACCTGCAAACGTTTAGCAGTTCATGTTTCACTGCCAACACTCACTTAGGTAAAGTATCAGTGCAGTTACCGCAAGCTTGATGTAGCAAAACCTCTACCTCCACCTAGAAAGAGACCTGATTATGTGACCATATCTAAATACTGAAATGTTATAGTGCTAATAATTTATTGATTTTTTTTTCCAGGGTGTGTGAACGACAGAGAGAAGCAGCTCTCCATGCTCCTAAAGCCCTTCCCATTTCAGAAGATGTAAACACACCAATATTCCATAACCCCAGCAGTCAGTGTGGCACACACGATTGCCGTAGCGACCAACACTGTCCAGGCAACACTAATAAATACATTATTACTTGCTCCTGAATTGGTTTTCTGATTATGACACAATTTTAACCTGAACAAAGCTTGAAATTAGCACATTTGCTCACATCAAACATTGATATGATAATAATAATATATAATAATAAGATATGATAATGACAAGACTAGTCTTCATTGTGTGCAAAACATTTATTATGCCTTACAAATACTAAACACTGAGAAAATATCACAATCTTTCAGGGTGCATATTGATATACCGTACTCATTCCCGATAGTTTGGCTCTCCATTCAAGCTCCTTAGGTATGGCTTTGATATTTTACATGGGGGTTAGTAGAGGCAGTCAGACTACGTCGCATATACAACAAACATAAACCAGTAATTAAAACACTTCTACAGTTGTTAAATTTCCATGGAATTTTAGAGGTGATGTTTCTAATGTCGTCATGTTACGGCCTATCTTCAACTATAGAAACACCAATGAAATGACAGCACAGGAGACAAAAAATACGTCCAACTCTTTTACTAAATATTTCTCTTTAAGTGCGTAACAGTGGAAACTTAAAGATGTACAAGTAAACAACAACCCTTCTCATAAATATAACTATGGTATATAAAAACTGGAAAAATACGCATTTACAATCGTAGCAAACAATCCACCATCTTAGTCGACAAGACGAGCTCAGCTCAATGCAAAGTACAGCAAGATATCATGGACTACAATTCAAGCTGTTCAATAATGAAAAGCCCTTGTAAACAAAAACGTAAAACCTAGCACATGTAAAGAAAATTCACACGGCACTGCAGTGCCTCCAATTCTGCTGAAAATCCTTAAACTTAACAAGTATTTTCTAAACACGAGGCACACACAAAAAAAATTAAACATTTTAAAACTACAGTCCGGAATTTTCACCCTTTCGGGATTTATGTATGATTTCTTTTTAATCCATGAAAGTGATGGTCGTAAAATTTACTATGATATAAGTAGCAGCTTGGCCTGCTAGACTCTTCCTCTGTTTAATTCTGCACAGAGAAAGTCTGGTAACTCTCCTATTCAAATAACCCCACCCCTTGAGAATTCTGACCGAGCCAATCAGCACTGAGCAGAGTACGTCTGGATACTCAAAGGCAGAGAGGCATGAGAGGCGGGACTAGCCAGCTCAAAAATAACCAATCAGAAAAAAGACAGAACTGCTGACTGTACCATGCAGCGCTGTAGTTTTTTAGCTGTAGTAAAAACAAAAAAAGGCGTCTGGCAACGGCACAAACATTTATGTTTTTTTTTCAGAAGAAAGACTTTTAGCGCTTCTACTTATGGTGGTTTTAAAGACATTCAAGTCATTTAGAACAGAGGAAAGAGCCGTAGCAAACACCGCCTCTTCGTTGATTATGAGACACTGAGCGTTGCAGTGTGTGTCGTCCGTGACGCTGTAGTTTTTTAGCTGTAGTCAAAAAAGGCGTCTGGCGACAGCACAAACATTTTTTTTAGAAGAATGGCTTTTAGCTCTTTTGCTTGTTGTGGTTTTAAAGACAGTCAGAACAGAGGAAAGAGCCGCAGCAAACTCCGCTTCAGTCGCCCTGTTTATGACAAACTCAGCGTTGTGGTGTGTGACATACGCTGCTCAGCACGGATTGGCTCGGTTAGAAGTCTCAGGGGGTGGGGATATTTGAATAGGAGAGTTACCAGACTCTTCCTCTGTGCAGAATTAAACAGAGGAGGAGTCTGGCTGGCCAGGCTAATAAAGTAGGCAATATGTCTTTTTTTGCAAAGCCCGTCCTGTAGAGCCCCATGTAATTTGAACTTAGCGCCATTAAGCATTAACCAATAACGTTGGACAACTGCTTACATACAGTAGTCAATCATGGAGCATGCTTGAGCGTTTGAGGACGTACATAGGTTGATGCAGAGTTGACGATGTTTCTCATGGACAAGTACGTTTTTAAAATATATGAATAAACAACATAACATGAGAATAGCTATTTTAAAACAACGTTTTAGCTCTGTCAGCTAGAGGTGTGAGTTCACGAACAAGAGGCGTTGCTTTCAGCCGTAAATATGGAAGTGGAAACCGTGCCTTAAGGTGCAATACATTTGTCAGCCACTGGATAGTGCCGTTGGACAAAATAAAGAGGATTGTAGCTTCAAGTACCACTAAAACAGCAAAAACTGAGTTTTGGATTACCAGAGTGTTAAACATCAATGTTAGTTACTTGCTCAAGCTGTTTAGCATTAGATTTGATCTACTTTTCGTAGAGTATTGAAGGGTGACTGCAAGTGCAATGAAGTTCGGTTCACATAAAAAATGTTTTATTAATTCTTGCCGAGTTCATGTTCATGTCTGCTCAGCATTAGGCCTGTTACTGTATATTTAGCATTAAACACATCGTTAACTGTATTTATTTCCTTTAAAGCGACTCAGTCACTAATGGCATCAGCTGTAGGGTGGCTGTGCACCTCAGACTCATTATTCTGCTGTAGAAGTTAGATCATGTTAGTATTAAACAGACTACACAGAAAGCAAGCATTGGTTTAACATCCATGTAACCACTAACTAAAGCGCTATACTTCGGGGATATAGGAGTTACTTTGCAACAAAGTGAACATTTTTTGTTTTGCTGTTTTGTTTGAGTACGCTATGACTGCTAGCTGGTGCTTTGCCGAGAGATGCTGGGACTTTAGCAGCTCTTTTCATGGCAGTTTTAGAGGCCTGACCTCTTGCTTCAGTCTTCTGACAGTCCCTCTCCTCTCTTTGAGGGGTGATCATCTCCTTCTTGTGTGCAGCATATCCCTGTTTCTCTGCACTTGCTGCTTTGGTTCCTCCTGAATCCTTTTTAACATCCGTCTCAGAATGAGCTCTGACACGGCTCCTTCTCACCTGACCTCTGTCGGTTTGGTTGGTGCCACTTTCTTGAGGCGGTTTACGAGCATTTCCTGCAGCTTGTATGTGCCTGAGATGACTCCTTCCAGCTGAGGGGCTCACTGGTGTCCGAGCCCCTCCTCCGCCTTGTCCTCCAGGGCTCGTACCTTCTGTAGAGGGCGTTCTGGTCTCGCTGCTGCTTCTCTTCGCTGCCGCACCTGGTCGAGCTTTGCGCTCGAGCAGTGGACTGAGTCGTGAGTGGCATTGGTATGCATAGGCAGAGCAGCTTCCGTTGCACAGTGGGTAGCGAATGTGACAGTGTGGACAAACTGGGAAACGAGAGAGCTGGGGCTGGGCTGAGGCAGGCGATGGTGGGTTATTAACAGGTGTAAATGGGAAGGCTCGGGAGCTGTGCCGCACCCCTTTGGGGGAGTTGAGTCTGGAAGGCGGGGCAGTGTGAGGCCTTGCTGGATGAGCAGTACTTTGAGAGGGGAAGCCCTGCGGTCTTGGACGGCTCCCAGGCAGACGACTGCTCTCTGCTTGCATTGTTTGGATCTGGAGCCACTCCAGTTGCAGCAGCCTCTCCAGGTATTTCTCCAAGGGCCCTACAGGTTTGGGCCTGGGGGCACCGCGGCCCTCGGTGTGGAGAAACACAGCCAGCTGCCTCAGGCTCCAGCAGTTGAATGGAGGAGGCAGAAAGTCTGGATAATGGTAGTTTGGTGTTTGACTCTCAACTTCATCACACACTGTCCCAAGGGGTCCTGGAAAATCTGGGAGAAGATCATTAGTGTTGATAATCTCTGCCCGGAGGTTGAGATGAGGAGGCGTGCAAGGAGTACACGGTGAAGGCAAGACGGGCAGCCTCTCAGAATCTGACAGATCACTGGCACTGTCAGTGTCTTCATCCTTGGGATTGTAGTGCAGCTGTAATCCCTCTGGGGTGGGGGCCGGGGAGTGTGTTAGGGGCTGAGCTGGCAAGTGACGTAGCCCTGATATCGGAGAAAGCGGCAGAGACAAGGCTCGGCGGTTCGTTCCCATCCCTTGACGATTCTGTGGGAGCTCACCACTGCACTGTGACGTTCGTAGATTTTCTCGTTTTTCTTCTTTCCTGTGCCAAGAAGACTGCTTGCGTAGCTGAGATCTCAACTCTCCTTCCTCTTCAGGACTATAACGAGACACAAGCATTAAGGAGACCAGATGCACAAGCAATGATTACTTTATTAAAGTTTTACTGACATTCATTACATAGACAAACATAATCGTGAATCTAATTGGGGGCGATGGTGGCAGAGGAGGTAAGTGCCCGCCCTGTAACCAGAGGGGCTGCCGGTCCATTTACTGCTCAGTCTAACAGTCGTGTGACTCGTGTCCTTGCTAGTGTCCGTGCTAGTTAGAGGGAAGCGGCATCTAGCATGTATATAAGCCCCGCCTCTCGGTTAGTCCATTGCAACTAGTCACCACCAGCATGTGAATGTGAGTGAGCATGGGTGAATGACTGTTTTGTTGTAAAGCATCTGGGGGGGCTATAGGACTCTAGAAGGCGCTGTATAAAGACATATCACCTTCTGAGCTCAGGAAGGCCACAGCATTACCACGGAAAATGTTCTGAGGGTTATTCTTTAATGAAGTTATTTTTTTACTTTTATGATTAAGGAGTTTCTGCAATCCTGTAAGACTAAGGATTTTTTCACCAGTTCACCATTAGTGTTAAATGCTACCCTAGAAACCTAAACCGTCAGTTATGGAAGCAGAAAGATTTTGCTCTGCGTGTCGGTCTAGCTACGCTTCATTAGAACCACCACAGCCCAGGAACTTTCTGTTTTGGTGGGCAAGATGTTAGTGCGACTAAGCAAAACAAAAATGGCGCCAACTCATTTGAAATGGCTTTGGTATCAACTTTGGACTAATTACACTTCATTTGTCAGATAGAGGTACTTCAGTCCTTCATTTAGAAAACGGTTGTATTTGTGTCTTCTTTGACAGTGTTTGACTGACATCGGTAGCGGTGAATACACGTTTTTTGTTGTCCAATAGAATGCGGAGACAGTTTGAAGGACAACCGTAGATCCCGCCCCATGACTGAGATTGGATTGCGACTAGACTGTCACGTATAGGATGGCTTGCCAGGCCAGTTAAATGCAAAATCAAGCATGAACTTTAATGATGTAATAGTGAGTTGGACCTCAAGTGAAATTCTGCTTAGGGCTTCTTACAAACTTGGACCAATCTACACACACACACACAAACACAAGGGGTGGACCTTTAAAAGCACCCTAGCGCCAATGGCGCTAAATTTTCTCGTCGAGCGGTAAATAATTGACGACTTACTGCCGGGGTGAGGCCCAAGCTTTGTTTGTAATTTACACACCGGCTTTCACCTCCCCCTGTGGCCACTCTTAGTAGTGTTGGGATACATCATGGCCGCGCCCTGTAGAAAGCTGCCGTTTTTGATTCCTGCACAGGTTCAGGTGACTAGAGGCGAGTTCACTATAAAAGACGGAGTGGAACCACTCTAGAAACACACAAACATGCAGGAAGATGGCGTCACCACAGGGATGGGATTTCTTGATGAAACCTCCGGCTAAACGGTTTAAAACTGGTGAGGACAAGTGAGACCGTTCGAAACAGTATGAAGCAGAGAAGCGTGTGCGTAGGTGGAATGATTCTTAGTGGTTTAAAGAAGACTGGAGGCGCCGAGAATGGCTCGAGTACAGCAAAGCGGAGGAGGTGATGTACTGCATTGTATACCGGAAGTATGCGACGACAAAATCAAGTTTGTTGAAGGAACAAACAAATTCAAACTAGAATACATTAAAGACCACAAAAAAACAGCGAGCCACATGAAGGCAGAAAAGAATGCTCTTGCAAATACAGCAACGGTAGGAGAGTCGCCAGCTGCAAAGGCCCCAGTGGCGATGACGAAAGCACAGCAAGACAAACTAGAAAAGTTGTTTCGTACTTTCAAAGAAAGGAAGGCCATACACAGACTTCACTTGGATGTGCGAGTAAGTATTATTTGCTTAACAAATTATCAAAATACTGGGTTTGATCTGTTTAACGATGTGTTTTTGTCCATTTCATTGTTCGATGGAGAAAAAAAGAACCAGAAAAGATGCACTGCAAGTCATCTTTGATTTTAAAAAAAATTTAATTCTGTTTAACTGCCATCAGCTTGTGGACCTGCTGCTGACCCTGCCTGCATCTACAGCTGAATGTGAAAGAGGTTTCAACCACGTGAAAATGATAAAGAGTGACTGGTGGTCCAGCCTGTCAGGGAAGAGTGTGGGCAAGCTCATGTCGGTGCTGTTACTGTCGGCAGACATTAAAAACTTCGACCCGAAGCCAGCCATAAACATGGTTTCAAGATGTCCAACGGCTAAGGCGTCTTGATTTCACGGATGGAAAGACTTCCACTGCTGCTGAGATGGACGACGCAGAGCCAGAGGAAGATTTCATGTGCGTGGGTCAGGGCCGCTTGCTCTCCGTGATGAGCAAGAAATATGAGGACGAGCTTGACAAGAACTTTGAGGTGGAGTAACATACTAGTCCACCACTAGCCAAATATTCAGCCTGCATCACAATGGTGCCAGAGACTGACACAGTGCTGGTTGGAAATATGTAAATATATACAGAAAAGTTTATTATGTTTGTGAATGTGTGCAAAATAAAGGTTTATTACATTTAAAACGGTTCAGTTGTTATTTTGACTTGTTTTGACAGCTGACATGCGGGCCGGTAAATTTTCTGAGTCACCGGCCTGGCTTGCCGGTTGGTTTTGAAGTTAATGTCCATCCCTGCATGCACATGCACACACACACACACACACACACACACACACACACACACACGCACACACACGAGCTCTTACCTGGAGACTTTACTTGTACTGCGTGTAGAGCTCAACTTCAACCTGCCACCTTTAGACTGAGCACCCTGTAAAACATCCAGCACCATTCTCATTCTGCAGCACATCTTGCATAACATGTTTTCTCATTGATTTCTCTCTTGGGTTCATCAGGTGCCAGTCACATACCCTCTGCGATGCTGTGGCTGTGTCCTTATCCTGACCTGGTCCCGGAAGGCCCTTTTTCACCTGGCTCACTGCTTTCTTCGTCTTGTTACTCTTCTTAGCGCTGTGGAAACGAGATGGTTGTTTGTTTATCACGCAAGTCCCCCTGCGACACCATCATCCCGCCTTCATGATGTCACTAAAAAACAAAAGGCCTTACCTGGCAACTGACCCGCTGTTTTCGGCATTCTTAACGCGTATCTTCTCTTTGGAAACGACGCGCTTTAGTGTCGTGGCTGCTGTGCGTTCCTGCATGATGGGTCCCATCTCGCATATATTGCGGGGAAAGTGGTCTTTAAGTCCAGTATGATTTATAACTCACACGGTGGCTAAAGAAGCCAGCCCACATCTCTTTTTAGACACTCGATTCCGAGAATCAGGTTTAAATCACCCATTTTCTCTGAAGTGCTGCACTGCATCATGCGAGCTTCTATCAGCGTCCTGCTGCAGGTTTACACACGACCCACTGTTTTCCTCGAAGACCCTCCCTCGCTGTTCAAAATCGATTTTGCTATTTGCTGAATAACTTATGACAACAGAGCCTCGTCGGTTTCGAGCGCTATCCTTTTCGCCATCATACGCTCAACCCGGTAAAAGGCAGCACGGACGCTTATGGCTGTCAGGTAGGTTTGTTTACTTGCTACTGCTCAGAGGCTCGCTGCTTCTGTACCAGCGAGTGGAAGAAGTGCATTATGGGACTTGAAGTCCATATGTATACGCAGACAATGACGCAGACTTTTACGGAGCTAGCGTAGCATTTGTCCGCCAGCTTGGATGGGTCTCCAATTCGCCCACAGTGTATTTATAATTGAGGAAGGTGTTTACTCAACTTAAAAAAACAAACAAGTTATTATGTTTTTTTTCTTCACAAAACCAGATATGGTAGGATGATTAAAATATATATGATAAAAATAAATCACAACAGGTAGGTTAGAAAAGTCCGAGCTTGTGTGTTTTTAATAGTGTGTCGGCTGATGTAAACGTAAACAAGAAACGGTCAATAGTTTATCGGTTTGGAGAGTGAGGAACCCACCCAATGTGGTGGCAGACGCGGTTACGCTTTCCTACAAAGACAGACGCCCCGTGGACTGGCACTGCCTATTGGAGCAGCCGTAGTAGTCAGCAGCCATTTTAGATGGGTATCCATTCGCCCCCAGTGCATTCATTTCTGCTGAGGAAGGTGCGAACACAACTAAATAACACATTTAATGAACTTTTTCACAAAATCAGACACAAGGCACAGCACAATAACTGAATTATACATACAATTATACAAAATAAATCAAAATATCAAATCCTACCAGGTAGCATAAACAAGTCTATTGTAATTCCACATGATCTGTTTTCAACATTACGCAGGTTATTGCAACCGTAGGCTGCACAGAAACGGGCATAATTGCCCACACTGCATTGACCTTGGAGAGTGAAGAGACCCACCCAACATGGCGACGACTCTGTTATGCTCTCCAGCGCCCAATGGGGCGTCTACGTTTATGAACGTAACGATATATAAATCAACTTAAACATTTTTTAGAAGCAACTAACTATTTAAAACACTTTATACACAATAGGAAATCAATCAGAATCATATTGACAGAGAACGTACAAACGTTAAAAGACTCAATACCCATGATGCATCGGTGATTTTTGTGACGTCTGTAGTTCCTGTTGTCTGTGTGCACATTAGCTGATCTCCATCGATTTCCAGCAGGACGCATGTGAGCTCTTACTATTTACAAATCGGTTATCATGATTGAAACAAGTCGCTTGGACTTCATGACGAAACGAATCGCGCTGCTTTGGTAAACACAGCATTAATGGAGGATCGAGCTCGGGCTACATCTTGTTCCTCACATGCAGTCAACGCTCCGCGTCTATGGTGGGGGGATGTCAACATTTAGTGTTATTGCGACGATGTAAAATTGCGAAACAGCTGCTCCAATACAACCTGCATTCAGGCACGTACTCCCAGGGTACACGCCCACTTCTTCTGCCAGTTTTATAACAAAGTTTCCTGTGTTTTTGTTTGAAATAATGAACGATCGTAACATTTTGGGTCATGATGCTTTTGAAAAGGGGGTCTTAAACGAGGTGGGTGGGGCATACTACCTCGTCATGTGGTTTTAAATGTGTAAATATGTCTTTACAGGTGAGCATAAGTCAGAAAATGGATAGAAGGTGGTTCATTGGCAATGAGAGGATACTTCCCTCAAAATCTGAACAGCCAACATCCAGCTGCAGCAGTGGCTCAAGGTCCTGCATGACTGTTAACTTGACTGAAATGCTCCACGCTGACAAGCCTGCCATAAGGAAGTCTGTACCGATCCGTCCGCCAAGCCCCAGGGCCTCTCAGCCAAAAGTACAAAAGTCCCACAGCTTTCTCACCTGCGAACCCACACCTAAACCCATCATCCGACAACGCTCACGCTCTCTGCCATCTGCCTCAGAGAAGAAAAAGAAGCAATGCAGAAGTGTTGGTGTGCGTTTTGTTGATTCCTTGGGCCTGGACCTGGAAAACGTCAGGCTCTTTAAATCAGAAGAGGATCCATTTGTGCCGTATCATGTCACTTTTCGACTACTGATGGGCGCTGAGATGACAGATGGAAGACACCTGGAGATCTCCTTGCCATACTTAAAACCAGATTTCGCCAAACAACCTGGTGACCAGCCACGATTCCTGCATCGCCTTCATGAGCAGAAAGTGTGTCTTGAAAGAATCTTGTGTTTTGAACTGGGGATTATTGGAATCACTCAAGTGGTTAATTTAGATTTTCAGAAAGATGTCACTGTTCGATATTCGTTTACAGAGTGGAAGAGTTTTGCTGAAACGAAGGCTTCTTGGGTTTCTAGCATCACCAAGACTTGGGAGGGAGGTGGGGGAGAATTTAGCTGTGACACATTTCGTTTCCATCTGCCAGTCCTGCCAATCCCGCAGCCTGGGTCATCTTTGGAGTTTGCAATTCAGTACAACGTCTGCGGGGCTGAATACTGGGACAACAATGATGGAAACAATTATAAACTAATCTGCCAAAATTACAAACTCACTGTACCTAAAGAATGTGAGGATTGCATGCTGCATTTCACTTAAGGTGCAGAATTTCTTTTAGCACTTTTTGACGTCTGGCATCTTTAGGCAAACCCACTAAAAGTAGGATAGTTCCAATTAGAAATGAGCACTTTAGCTTCATAGCATGAACAAGCACTAATTCATGCATTATCTTTTGAAATTGTACTGAAATATAAAACACCCTTTATAGAATTGAAAGCAAACAATCACTTAACTACATGTGAGCATCAAATTGAGGGGATGCCCATGTTATAATATTTTGTTGAAACCACTTTTTTGTGCATAATCATCAGCTCTAATAATTTAATAAAATGCAGAAGTTTGGTTTGTTGTAACATCATTTTTCTGCATTTAGAATGTATTGTAGATATTAAATAATTTCTTAAGAAATATAAAAAATATATTTTATTGAAATTTCCCATGAGTGAGAAAGTGTTGCTTATGATAAAAATACTTTTATTTTGTGCTATAATTTATATTCCCAATAAAAACTGAAGTCTGACACTATTACGGCTGAAGTTTTATTTGTGCATTATTTATTGGCTATTTTTGAACAAACTGCTTCATTTAAAATGTGCAAAACAACACAGACACATGTAGATGAATTAGGATTAGCTCACAATACAAATTGTATTTAATCTGACTCCAGATGTGTCACTCATGTTAGAAAATGTGATTAGTAGAATTTGTGCCCTGACAAATTTTGATAAACATTTAGTAATATGGTCCCCTGGGCTGGACCAGGGATCAGTTTGCTATGTAAAACACCCACAATATTAATTAATTATGAGCAAAACATATAAAAGAAATTGAGAAAATATGGAAAACTTTAATTTTTCATCTACTTAAATTTTACATTTATTTTCACTGCAGAACAGTTCACATATGTCTTTTAAATATGTAAGCTTATATCATTCAGGTGGCCTTATATATTTGCTCACTGTATATTTGAAAATTAATGCTTTGTATTTTATTCAGGGTTAAATAATGTCCATGTTCATGCTGGACTGATCTTACATGTCTTTCCTGTTTAAAACAAATTATGGACCTTTTAAAAAATTAACCCTTTGATGCATGAATTATGAAATCTTCAACTATGATTTTTTTAACATTTTTTTTCATCCATCTTTAGGTGTGAATGAAACAAATTTCAACAAATATTTTTTTTTATAATTTTATAATTTACAAATAATTTATTACATGTCCACTTCAGTGGGCAGCGTGCATTCTGAGCATGAAATATGTTGGCTTGGCTTACTGAAGTCCAAATGGAGGGGCTCAAATGCAATAAAGTCTTCAACAGCTGTGCTTAATAGCAAAAACAAATAAATAACAATTTTGAGTACCTGTCCACTGTAGTGACCATTATGCATCAAAGGGTTAAATGTCTATGGTTTGCCTATTTGAACTACTTCGTATCTGACATGTTTCGATTAGAAACTACAAACGGACGCTGATGAAATGTTGTTGTAGTTTATATTACCTGTTATTCGCCCTGTGGCCGCCAGAGGGCGTATGCGTTCTCGGGTCATCAAAATTGGGTGACAAAATTAGATGCGACACCCCCAATGATCTGTAATGCGCTTGCGCATCCAACGATCCAACGGCTATTTCGCGCGCGGCTTTTAGCGGTGGGACAAAATAGCAGAAAAAGATAAAAAATCTGCCAAATAATTCACTTGCACTCCATCTCTTATAAGAAATTTTTACAACATGGTGAGTATTTTATCATAAATAAATCTAAAAACCACAGTTTCTTGTATAATTTACCCATCCCGTGTCCGGTAACGGAATTACACCGAAAATATTTTAGCTATGAGCAAAAGTTAGCTAACATTTGGAGAAAAACTATTTAAACTAGCCGAGAAGGCTTTGAAAGGCAGATATGACATTGTAACAGTTTCTACAATGAAAGCTTAAGTTAAATTGGCTATATCCTAATGGTTTTATTTTCAAAAATTGTTCTGAAATACTCTTTATAAGCAGTCTCGGTAGAAATATTCAGAATAGTGGATTTTTGTGAGCTGGAATGCAATTTTATCAGATTACTTAAGTATGTCTAATGTCTTCTTAGCAAAATAAGTGTAAAAAAACTTTATTTTAATTTAGCATTCAGGTTTATGTTTTCTGTGTCACAGAAAACTTGTCTGCGCAGCACAAACAAGCAGCAGTGAAGCAGCTGGCACCAAGAATGGCTCCAAGTCAGAGTGAAAAGGTTGGACAGCAAAGCAAACATTTAACTAACATTTCTTACACTTCAATTCATGTTAAACCCACACTCTTTATGTAAATTTATACCAAATGAATAAGAACACATTTTTTTTCTCGCAGTTGGACAATATCATTGATGAGGTGTTAAAGAGTGGGAATAGACAACCACTTGAAGCGTTTTTAGAAAGGTACACAGACAAAGAAGTGCCTGTGAAATGTTCCCAAAAGTTCCTCAGCAAACTGGATAAACTGATCACAAAGGTAAGATGAAGTTTAATTTGTTGATCAGCTCATCGTGATGATGTGTGTTCTTAGAATTGATGAAATAACCATATCGTTTAGAGCTTGGACCAAAAAGATGCCAGAACAGCCAGTTTGGCTGTTGCTATCATCTACAAATGTGGGAAAAACCTGGACATTCCTGGTGGTCGAGGACTCTCAGGTTTAATAACCCAAAGACTAATGAATAAGATAAGTCTAAGCACACAGTCACATAGTACAAGGGGATATATTAAGTAAATACTTAGTTTTTGTTTAATTTGTTTCTGTGCACATGGTACAGTGGTTTGAGAAATGCAAACTTCTATGGATCCAACATGGCCCACTTTGGGATGAGACCATGTTCACGCTGTCTGAGAACTTTTTTAATGCCTTAATGGTGAGTCTGTGTTTTATAGGAAATGCTTTTTGAACAGTAATGTCTTTTTCTTGAAGATGATCTAAGGGAATTATCTTCCTTTTTGGTGCAGGTGGCTCATGAGTCTTGCAGAGAGGGTAGGTTTATACATTTATTTTTTTTTACTTATTGAAGGAATGTTTAATTTAAATTAACAAAGCAAATACAAAAATTAAATTCAAAAAGCTGTATCATTAAGTTGTTGTTCTATTCTAATCGTAATTTTAGTATGCAAAAACATGCATCCTACTTTTACATTATTGTAAAATAAGTAAACATTTATTTTTCTTACAAAATCTTACAAATTGTTCTCATGTCTTTTTTTCAGGAACTTTCAAAGTCACTGAGTTCTTCCTGTACCCTATTGGTCAGTTGGCTGTAGACCCCAAAATCTACATCCTCATTCAGAAAGAGGTTCGAAATTATTTCATAACAATAATTCTAATCATCTAAGATGCCTTTTTAAAGAATTAAATGAATAATAATTGTTTCACCAGGCAATTCGTAAATATAACTTGATTCTGGACAAAATTCCGGCGGAGTTTAAGAAAACCAGACAGATCCTAACATCTCAAGAGGCTGCAGATCTCATGTATGGATGGGTGTTTTTCTTATAGCAAGAATAAATAATAGAGAGCCTTAAGTCTCCTCCCTTTCTAGTTGGCTCATGGGTCTCCGGAAGAACAAAAAAGGAATGCAAGTGAACGGGTCTAAAAAAGCTATTTTCTAATATGCTTTGCCTTACGCCCTGAGTCACACAAATGTTGTATTTCAATTTAGATGAAAAGTAATTATGTGAGTTTCTGCCACGCCAGTCGTGTACTTTGAGATTGTAGCTTGTAAAAGTTTGTAATTAGCATGACTACAAATTAGACATCAGCACATCTTATATATGACATCACCACAGAATCTCCTCTCCACTAGCATAGCTGCTACTTATCGTGGGGTCAGCTTTATGAAGGTTCTTTTCTCCTGAAAGAAGGAGTTGAAGTTTGCTGAACTTGCAGCCATTTTCCTCTGCTCTCCTCCATGTCTGGTTTGATGACTTGAATTTGGTGATGTGCATTTGTAGTACTAGGGATGTGAATCTTAGAGGAACTCACGATTTGATTCGATTCCGATTCTTGCGGTGCCGATTTGATTCAGAATCAATTCTCGATTCACAATTTAAATCGATTCACAATCAGTATTAACAAAGAGAGTCAGCTCCAGGATTAACTGCTTTGTTGTACAAGTTAGTTAAAGCTATGGGACATTTTTATTTGACTTTAAACTGGTCATGCTCCAAAAATACAAATTTACATGTAAAATAAAGTGATTCTAAAACTGTAAACAGAAGCAATCTTTTGACCAAAAGGCAACATTTATTTTTGTTTACCTTGTAAAATATAACAAATCTGTAGTTACCAAACAGTAGCTTTGAAAGTAATACGGTCAAATACTTTTCAAGTATGTGTAGAAACAAGTTACATGAGTAATCCTGAGTACTCATTTATCAACTTAGAAAATAAATATGAGAATATCTCAAATTTCTGAGTATGGAAAAAATTACATTTAAGTGCCCTCTTCAGCAGATTCAAACATAAATCATCTCAATTTATGGGACCACAAAAGTAAACGGAGTACTGACTCTCCTAACAAAGATCAAAAAAGTGCATCTCAAACCTGTAACATACCAAATATTTGAGTTCTTGGAATCGATTCTGAATCTTTATAAATAAGAATCCCGATTCAGACTTGAATCGATTTTTTTCAGCACCCCTAATTTGTAGTCCTCGGCTTAATTTCACACAAAACCAAAAATAATGTTTCCCCCCGTTTGAAAATAAGCGCGTTCTTGGCAATTAAAATGCCTCTTTAAAATTCATGGACATCATATGTGATAACCATGGCACATAACAGACGGGATTAGAAAACAGCATTTTAAGCCCCATTTAGTTCTTCCAGGGACCCGCGGTCCGGAAGTAGATGGATGTGACTTAGGCTCCCTATCGTCATATTTAAAATTTCTGTTTTCATAAATGAATGTACATTTATTTTCTTCCAGGGCCAAACTGGCAACTCGAATATTGGAGGGTGGTGGTAAATTGTTTTGTTTTTATTTTTATTTTTATTCATTCATGCATCTGCGACCGTTATGCTGTGAGGCAATAATGCTATCAGCTGTGCTACCATGCAGCCTTTTTTAGCTGAAATAAGTACTTTTTTTCCAGATTATGACTTACAGTCATCACTGATGGAAGCCTTATGCAGGATGGCCACTGCTGAACAAAGGAAAAAGTTGGCAAGTCACTGGTTCAGCATGGGGCGTGTGGCCAGTGCCTTTGCTCAGATCAATGATTCAGAGTTTGAAACGGTAAAGCTGGACTGTTTATAGTCATTTTATCATTTGTTTTTACATTTTCATGAACACCTTTTGACAATTTATTGTCACTGTAATGTGTGATT